AACGCCTTCATGAGTGGGTTCGGGGTAACCACAGTGACTGGTAGCTTTAGAGGACAGTGGGGGAGAAACATCCCCCCAAACCCAAATTGTCTCTGTTTTGATCAATCTGGGATCCATAGTGAGGTATGGATGGGGATCAAGGACTTGAAAACCACACAGCATCAATATCTCTGCTCGTCTGGAACTGGGGTCCTGACCTGTGGTGGTGCCCTACCCACAGTGGAATTTTATAGGCGGAGATTACACTCCCAACTTCCACAAGAGGGCGCGCTGGGCCTAAACTTGCTCTCAGAGTGCAGGTGTCCTGAACTATCACCACCTGGTCTTCCAGAGTAAAGAAAGGAGTGGCTGAACCGGGCTGGAGGGAGGTGTGGTTAGGGTTCAGCCCCCGGGCTCAAGGTCAAAAGCTGATTGGGAATGGCAAATTTAATCTGTTATTCTAAACCTTCAAGAGCAAAATGAGCTATGAATTTCTGTGATGACGTGGGGGCGGGCAGGATGCTGGCGGGAGGCTGGGGTGGTGAGTCAGCATCGGGGACATCAGGGCAGAGCATAGCTCTGTGTGTCCTGTGTCCTTTCCTGTCCCCTCCCCAGATGCAGCTGCTTTTATCCTGGTTCCCAAGACACCTCTCGCTTTGTCACCTCGGCACTGCCCCCTCTGCCTGTCTTCGGCAATGTGCCTCCTGGCAGTGGTGCCCTCCGATTTACTCAGCGGTGTTATTCAAAACAGGCTTGGAAGTCCTTCCTGGCCTCTACCTTCCTTCCTTCTGTTTTTCTTTGAGGTGGGGGAACTGAGCTTGAATTTGCTGGCTTTGATGAATTTAAGACAGAGATGGAAGGGAGAGAGATTCCCCATCACCCCAGTCAACAGCCCCATGCTCGGGCCCTGGAGCTCATCTGGCAGAAGGAAAAAGCTAGAAGGGACTTGTTGCTTGGTGGCCTTCCAGGATGCCTTGCTCTCCACCCTTCTCCCAGCCCTGACAACTCAATCCAGCTGACAAGACAGGAAACGGGAGTGCTCAGCAGGCCAGCTGCCAAGAGGGCCACTTTTCCCTCTGGGGAGAAAACAAGGCTGGGGTGGCCACCCTCACCCCCACCTCAGCCCCTCTCAAGAGTCTCACGCTTCCATCTCAAGTGTTGGCAAGAGGAAGCTAAACCCCAGTCTCTGGCCTTGAAGCAAGAGAAGCTAATCCAGTCCAAATGGATCCTGGGGCAGCTTCTGCTGCAACTAGAGCTGCAGGCAAGGAGGGGACAGATGTCACACCAAAAGGACTCAGGGAGGGGTCAGAGACATCACCATTTCACAACCATAACATCCAATTTAGGCTACTCTCTGACTAGGTCCTCTAGCTCTAAGGAGAGGGTAGAGGGAGGGAGAGGTAATTTGCATTGTATTTACATGTCATTTGCATACAACTCTTTTGACGTCCAAAGGCTTTGAAATTTCCTGCCCTTCCTTCTTTCTCCCTTTCTTTCCTCTGTCCCCTTTAAACCTCCAGGCAGCCTCCTATCTCAACCTCTTCTCTGTGGTTTCTCTTGCTAAGAGAGAGGCAGGAGGATTAAGCCTGGGGGAATGTTGCTCACCAGGCCTAAGCTCAAAGCAGGTTTTCATGCAGCTGTGTTGGGAAGGGGGGGGAGGTCTCAATCCACTCCATCTAATTGAAACAATTATCAAGCAAGATCACAAGGGAGAGAATAGAGTGGTCTAGCTCTCCTCCTTGCCCCACGCATCATGCGCGTGTGTGCACACGCACACATACATACACACACACACACACACACACAGGCCCGTGCCAGACTGGTAGGCCTGGATCTAAACCCCAATCTTACCATCTACCAGCTGTACTAATCTCCCTGAATCTCAGTTTTCTCATCTAATAACTTTTCATCCAAATGACGGTGGAGTTAAAATTCAACGGACAAAGAAACAAAAAAGACGCCCTGTGGGACCTGGAGACAGCTTGGTGGGGAAATGCTTACTTTGCAAGCACAAGGGCCCAAATTCCATCCCCAGAGTCTATGAAATCCCACTGGCCAGCTAGCCTCTCCTGCAGTTCCAGGGCAGAGCAATGATAGACCCTGACCCAAGAAATAGGGTCTATTAAGGAATAGGTCTATTAAGGAATGACCCTTGAGGTTCCTCTAGCCTACGTGCACACACATACACACCCATGCATGCACACACGGGTGCGTGCACACATGCACACACAGGAACACACGAACACAAAGATGTTGTATTTTCAGTATGGAGCATAGTTCTCCATACTAGGGGAGCACATACTACTGATTGATAAATGAAGAGATGAACAATAGCTAAAATGATACTAGTCAACTTCACCCTCTCTCCGTCTTATCCCCCCCACCCCAATCTCTGGAAATTTTAAGCTTTGCTTCCAACTGTGAACTCCCAAGATCCTGTCTCCTCCTCAGTGCTTCCCTCCCAGAGAACTCTATAAACTGCCCACCCCATCAACACACACACACACACACACACACACACACACACGCACGCACGCACGCACGCACACATACACACCCCCCAATCCCAGAATCCTAGGTAGTTCTTGGACATTGGCAGATATAAACTTCTCTGACTTCTAGAATACTAAAGCGCAGAGAAAAAGCAACAGGGGCGTGGGGGAAAGCAAACCGGCAACAGATCCTAGATAGTGGTGAGCCAGACCCTGACTGCACAGGGCCATGCAAATGTATGCAAATAGAGAGCCGGGATTCAGGAGCACATGGGGCTCCACGGACTTAGAGCAGGCGATTCTCTGGGATGATGGCAGATGAGTGAAGCAGATTAGACCTTGAGCACAGGGAAGAAGCCAAATAAGGAAAGGACGGGGGGTAAGGAAGGAAGGGACAGGCTGAGAACGTCTGAGTGGGACTTCCAGGGTCACTCGGACCTCCAAAAGCCCTTGCTGATCTCTTTCCAAGAGCAGAAGAAAGAAAAAGAAAGTCCCTTCCTTCTTGCCAGGAAAGGCAGGTGAGTTTGACTAGGACAGGCAGTTTGCCCAGCCCTGAAGACTCGCTTATGCCCTCCCAACTCTCCTACTTGGCACTGACGTCTGGTGTGTCCAGCATTGTTCCAGGACCTGAAGACAACAGAATGAAGCATCCAGTCGGGAAACAAAACAGCAAACACATAAAAAACCTAAGAAGTGAGCTAAGAAGGGCCCACACCACCCTCCTTCACACAGGCCGGGAGGCTCTAACTATGTCCATCGTCTTGCTTGCATGATGCAGGGTGCCCAGTGCAGAGAGTAAAAATAGAGGGGGGAGCATCTCCATCTCCCAGCACCAGACCCCTTCCAGCTGCCAAGAGAGGGGGCATTTGAATCATTCACTGGAGAAAATAGAGCAGGGCCGTAGAACAAAAAGTTTCTGCTCTTGCTGTTATGGGCTCTGTGACATGGCAAGTTCAATTCCTTAAGCCTCAGTGTTCCCACCTGAGAAATAGAAATCAGGGTACTTCAGGGTGTGGTGGCACACACCTTTAATTCCGGCACTCAGGAGGCATAGGCAGGAGGATCTCTGGGAGCTGGAGGCCATCCTGGTCTATAGAGTGGGTTCTGGGAAAGTCAGGGCTACACAGAAAGACCCAGGGGGAAATAAATAAATAAATAGATAAATCATGGTACTATTCACAAGGTTTAATACGTGCTAAATTCAGGAGGATGGAACTTAAAGGCCTAGACTACAGAAGGTGGCTCTATCTCAAAACCAGAGCAGTTTGGGAATATAGCTCAGAGCTTGCTTTATGCGTGGAAACATCTTGATTTGGAACCTGTGGCAATTCAAAATAATAATGATAATGGCATTAGAGATGCTTTTAACGTTTTTCAGTACCATGCCCAGTCAAGAGTGGAAGCACAGTAAACCTGGGGTGTCATGAATGGACATCTCAGGAGGAAAGAGCTTTATAGAAAAGGTCTAGAGGCAGAAAAGCCCAAAGTCAGCCTGGGAAATGGTCTGGGACCAGGGCGGTGGGGAGCCTATCTAAAAAAAAAAGAAAGCGGCTCTGCCCTCTTGTCTACACATGGCTTTCTGAGCTGACTGGATGTGGTTCCTGAGCCAGAGTCACTAATGGCATCTGAAGAGCAAGAAGTCTTCTACCCATGCAGGGTGCGGAGTCCAGGCTCCATCGCTAGGGAATTACGGGCTTTGATTAATTCACTTCCAGTCCCTGGAAGGTGAACTTCAGAACAACTGGTGGCATTAGCGAATATTCGCCACATCCTTCTCTCTCATAGCCTGGGACCAGAGTGAGAATGGGTGACAGCAGGGAAGGGGCAGGCCTGTCTATCTAGAAAGGGTGAGGAGAAGCTGCTGCAATCTAGATCTTACACTGACGAGGGCAAGCCACGGGGAACCAGCCCGGTTTGGTCGCCTGCTTAGCCCTGATAGATACCAGTTATTAACACAGGCCCCGTTTTACAGATGCTTAGAATGAGGTCAGGGAGGTGAACAGTACGACCCAAGCCACAGGGGTGGTAAACGGTTAGAAAGGATTGTAAGACCTTTGCAGCACCCCCTTAGCTTCTCCAGACTCTCACGGGTTCTCCGCAGTACTGTTTACTTTTCTTGAGCCCAACCAGGCAGAAACCTGGGGTTCCCCAACAGGGCAAACTACCCCAGTAGTCTGAGCCGCTGAGGGTGTGATGGGGAGGGACTGCCAGGCGGGGTCTCGACAGACAGGTGTTCCTCAGGGTCGGGACTCGCCCCGGCAGCACCTCGACACCCCTCTCCTGGCCCCCAGCTCCATCTATGCAAATCGCTGTTTTGCATGGGCCCAAGGCCAAGCGCGGGGGCCCTGCCAGGGGGCGTGGCCGAGGCCCCCGCCCCGTGCCGCGTGCTCACCTGGGGAGTGTGCTAAGCCTGGTCGCCGAGTGCTGCCCCAGCCGGAGCTGCTGAGCGCGCGACTGAGGTGCCAGCGGCTCCTGCAGTGGCGGCAGCTGCGGCGGCAGAGGGCGGGAGGAAAGAGACCCTGGCTTCTCCGGGGGCCAGGCTGGGGCAGCCGCGAGGGACCTGGGGGGGCGCTGGTTTTGGCCCCGCCTGGGGCAGGATGGTGAATCTGGAGCCCATGCACACAGGTGAGGGGCGGAGGGAGTGAGCTCCGACAGGTGTCACTGCGCGTGGGCAGGGACCAAGGACAAGGGCACCATTGCACCACTCGAGGCACCGTGAGGGGCTAACTCCCCGGTGGCCAGGAGAGGGCGAGTGGATAGCGGGTCCTTCCGGGCGGGTGAGGATAGGTAGATGTTGAGGGCAGGGAGGGGGTAAAAGAGGCAAGTTTGGAATATGAAACCTTGGAGAACAATAACGAGGCGCATGAAGTTCCAGAAACCCCAGATCTGGGAAGTTAGACAATGCGTGGGACTTGGGTGTGCTGAAGTGCTGGAGTCCCAGGAGGTTGCAGGAGATGGGTGGTTCACTCAGTTAGGGTGTGGACCTGGGAGTGCATACGTGTATCCACATGCTGCGTGCTTGGTGTCCGGGCACCTGTGTGATGTGCAGGCAAAGTGGGCATGGGGGGTGCCTAGGGGAAATGCTAGTAGGGCGGAGCAAAACCAAAGGCGCACCTGGGGCAGATGCCATGCCACAGGATCGTTCATTGATTAGGACTTGTGCAAGCATGTGTTTATGTGTGTCAGGAGTATCTGACTGTCCCCAGCGTGTGTTGGGAGAATTGGTGGAGCAAACCCCAAGGAACCTAATGAGTCTTGGACCACATGTGTTCCAGATGTGTCTGGATGTGCTGGAGGTGTGTCCACTCACGTTATCCATCTGCGCTATGGATTCAGTGTAATAGTAAGCCTGTATCCCAGAGGGGATGGTGACAGACACCTCTGAGCACAATATCTCATGACCTCCTTTCCGGAGGAATAGGAGCCCTGGGAACGAAAAGGCCAGAAATGGACAAATGAGAGGTGGGTGTGGAGATACCCGGACCCACTATCTTCCTCTGGTCCTTCCATTCACAGCTGGGCTAAGGATGCTACTAAGCTAAAGGGTTGGTCTTGGTGATGTGGGTTGAGGTGGGGAGGGCTGATGTTGTGATTAGCTGCCTGAGGTGTTGAGCAAGGAGCAGGGTCAAAGTGAAAAAAGCTGGACCTAAGGTAGCTACTCAAAGTCTAGCCCCTTACCTCTGTCACACACAGTGCAGGAACCGAGTAAGTTTTCTTTAGGACTTCAGGGTTGTTGCAGAGACTGTGTTAATTGCTCTAGAGAGCAGGGAAGTGGGAAGGAGGAGGAAGAAAGCAGATCTTCCGACCCACCGCACAAAGCAAAACAAGCTAGATCTGCCTGTCTCCCACCGTTCCGGAGATAGGTATCAGTGGGGACCCCAGGGGTCCATGATTCCTAGTTCACTTCTCAGCAGGGCTAAGTGCAAGGGTAGCTGGCGGAGAGATGCTGGCACCAAGTGCCTGGTGCCCCAGGATTTGCCAGGAAGGACTAGGTGAGGCTCAAGGAGCCATCCAACTGGGTGTCGTCCAGTGTCTGAAAAAGTTCTCAGATCCAAAGTGGTACAGCGGAACTGAAAGTAGCTAGGGACAGAGCCTCTGGGGGAGGCATTTCATCCCTCATTTCCTATCAGGAAGGCCAGTGTTCAAATGGGAATTAGTCTTGGCCAAAGGAAACTCAGTAGAAAGTGGGGAGATCTTTAGAACCAAGATCCGGGACTTCCTGGGGGGTTTCCACCTCCCTGTCCTACCGGAGGTTCTGCCTGGGGAAGTGGGAGGAGGTGGAACAGCTAGATCCTGGTAGGGGAGCAGCCTGGGAGTTGGGAGGACCTGGTGGAGAGCAGGAAGGGAGAGGTTGGGAAGAGAAGGCCAAGACCCTCCACCCATGCTAGCCCCTCATTGATGCTTCTCAGAGACCCATATACCCACGCTGCTCAGCATTGCTATGAGCAGAGTGTATTGAACCACCGAAGATGGGGTGCTTCCTCCAGATGGAGGTTCACCAACCTTTGTGCTCATTGCCTGATTTACCTCTCCAATTGTCTTGAAGGCCTCCCTGCTATATTCTTTTGCCAGTTCCTTCAGGGTTGTTGGTCTTCCTCTATGTCACTCATGATGTCTTGGCCCCTATATGGTGTGTGCTCACCACTCAGTGACATAGCCAAAGGTTCTCTGGGTTTGGAGCTTTCTGTGCTGTGCTTGTTTTCTCAGCTTATGGGCTTCATTATTATTTGCTTTGTTTGTTTATTTTTGGTTTTCGAGACAGGGTTTCTCTGTAGCTTTGGAGCCTGTCCTGGAACTAGCGTTTGTAGACCAGGCTGGCCTCAAACTCACAGAGATCTGCCTGCCTCTGCCTCCCGAGTGCTGGGATTAAAAGCGTGTGCCACCACTGCCTGACTTTTCATTGTTTTTTGAGAGAAGCTCTTGCTACATAGCTCAGGTTTATCTCAAGCTCACATTAATCCTCCTGCCTCAGCTTTCCCATTCTTGGAGTACAGGCATAAGTCACTATGCCAAGCTTTTGAGGTCTTTGTAGGTCTTTCTGGTGTGGTCCCTGCTGTGTGTGTGGAGGGAGGGATCCCCTTCTTTCTTTGGATTGTCCCATTGTAGTCCCCTCCCCTGGGTAGGTCTCTGAAGCCTAGCTCCCTCTTTCTTTTAGTCCCTCCATAGTAATCCTATATTCCACTGTCCCTTAAATGTCCCCTGGAATTCCCAACTCCAGGCCCTTAAGGAAGCCTCCTGGTTGGTTTTCTGGAGTAGTGTCCGTGTGGAAGGAGGATGATAGCCGTCCCCAAGCGTGGGCATAGACTTGCTCCTGGATCCCCATTCAGCGGGTTCCATAATTCTTTGGCCTCAGCACCGATGGCCTGGGGACAAACTCTGATTCAGGTGTGCCACAGCCTCCATGCTATGTTCTTCTAGAACCTTTTATTGTGGAGCCTGGAGATCTGAGCTAGTAGCACGGGAGTTCTCAGATAGAGAGGGGCTTCCTGCGCTCAAGCCTCAAGGGATGGACAAGAGCTAGTCAGCTAGGAGGGAGAGAGGTGGTGTAGTCAGCCAGAAGGTCCCCGTGTCGCGTCTGGCCTTGTGGGTCTTTCTGTTTCTTGCTGTCAAATGGGGAAGGGAGACTGAGTGTCCGAGACCTGTGCTAGCAGGAGCTCAGGAATGCTATTCCGGTCAAAAGACCTGTCAGAGGGAGGGAGAAGAAAAAAAAGTCTACAGCAGAATAGTTGGAGCCTTGGCTGGCTCAGAAGTGGCACTGGAGGGTCCTAGGAAGGCCCCCTTGTGGCAGGACCCACAAAAACAAGTGTTTGAGAAAAGAGCCAAGGACAAGAATAGCAAGAACAGTAGAGAGAGGTGGGGCTCCCACTTGCTCAGAATAACCTGGACTCAGGAGGACACTGGGCCTGCTGCCCGCCTGGAGAGAGCACTGCCTTTGGGTGCTTGTGTTTCCAGATACCTACTGGGGGAACTACTTCTGACCAGGCCTCAGGAAAGCTAGGCCATCTTCACTCTAGGACAATGCTAGATGAGGCAGACTGGGGTCTACTTGAGGTACCTGGGCGCTTACACTCAGCAGCTGAGCCTCCTCAGGGAAGGGAGGGTGGCAGAGAGCCGACTCAGACAGACTAAGATAAGAACATAGCCGAGCTGGCCCCACCCCACACCTCTCTCACTCACCCCCGGCGGTGCTGTCGGACAGGTGAAGGGTTACTGCCAACGTCTCAGGGAGTTTCGGTGTTGGCCCATTTTTAGGCTGAGACCCAAGGATTCGTCCCACCCATCAGCATCAGCCTCCTACCCAACAAGAACAGGTTCTTAGCATCTGAGCTTGCTGGGGACTGACGGAGGGAGAAGGTTTCCAGGTTAGCTCACCCTGCCCCTCACGAAGCCCCACCCCCCCGCCTGGAGAGTCAGGCTGTCACCAGGTCAAGGCAGCAATGAGGGGCCTTTGGATGTCTTTAAGAAATAACTTTTAGACACGATTAAGCCTAAGTTCCAAGTTTATTTAAAGGACAAGGGAGAGACTTCCTGGTGGTTGGAGGAAATGGGTGTTGGAGGAAAGTTGGGGTGATGGGCAACAGAATAAGGCTCACCTCAAAAAGCTACCTGTTTCTGCCAGTCCTCACGGTGCAGGCGTGTGTTCCCAGCCACCCCTGGAAGGCTAAAACGGGAAGAGCATAAGTTCAAGTCCTGCATGACCTAGAGTGAGTTCAAGGCTAGCCTGGGCAACCCTGCCTCAAAATAAGGAGAGCTCTGGGGATATCTCAATGGTAGCAGAAGTAGGACCCCGATTCTATTCTCAGTAGCACACACACCATGTTATCTGTTTAAATGTCCGGAGTTTGGAATAAGTTGATTTGGTAACTCTGATTTTTCACTGTCCCTCAAGCTTTTCCTGTCCCCATGAGCAATTTTCCTCTGAAGTGGAATCTAGAGAATTCTAGTGCCTTTCTTGGTGAAGGACAGTTACAGAGATGCGAGACGGAAAGCCATAGATGTCCCAGGGAATCGGGAAGGGACAAGGAAGGGGCATGACCAGGATGCAAGAGGGGACTGGAACTCGTGTCTAAGCCCGTGGGTGCACCCTTTCTTCCCATTCATCATCTCATTTAATCTTGTCCATGCCTCTGGGAGGTGTGTTCAGCATCTCTGGTTCTGGGTGAGAAAATTCACACTACCATTTGTAGCTAAGGTCCCCTGGTTACTTAATGATGGCATTGGAATACACTCTGATTTGCTGCTAAAACCCGCGCTCTGAAGTCCTGACTTCTGGCTCTGCTAAAGCAGGTTCAAAACCAGCAGAGGGAGAGACTTTCCTTCCTGTGCCTTTCAGCGGGCTCCGGTTTGGGGCTTTTTCTCTACACTTCAGAGGAATCCCAGTGATGAAGTGTGGGGGACAGATGGGTGTTAGGAATTACCCAGCTCCAAGCTGGGACAAAGTGAAGCCCATTTTCCCAGCAATAGCAAATAGACAGAGGCCCCTACCAGTTCCGTATATGCATGCATATACTACTGTCTGGAAAATGAACATCTGCAGCAAGAAAGGTTCAAGGGAAGCTGCTCAAATGCAGAGCAGAGGGGGTGTTCCTCAGACTTCAGGACCCCCCCCCCCAGTGCAGCAAGGCTGTCTAGGAAGACCCTACCGAGCTCTTACTATATACCTGGGTGCCTTCCTTCTTTAAGCAGTGTCCTTCAAAACATAGGGACTCCTAGGGAGGCCTTATTTCTTCCCCTACTTCTGGTGCATTTGCTGGTGTCTGCATCGCTGCTTTGCCTGGCACCACAGTTACTTCCTTACAGAGCCGTAAATAGATTTAAGAACTACACACATTAGTGCCGTACCAAAAAGAAAGGGGTGGCGCTTTCTCTCCTCTTTTCCTGGGGCAGAGGTCCACTCTTTTCCCTCATCCTGATCATCTCCAGACCTCTGACGTCTACAGTGCCAACTGCTTGATTACCTGATGCAAATTAAAGCTGCCTCCTTGACTGGGATTGGCTGAGGAGCATCATATGCAAATTAACTCACCAAGACTTTATCTGGTTTGAAAGAGTTAAAGTGCTGTCCCAGAGAAGAGGGTGCGGTGGGAGTGGGGGGGGAGTCCATACAATTTGAATAAAATATTCTCTGTCTTAAACGGCCAGATTTGGACAGGCTGAGAGAGCGAGTTCAAAGTTGTCTCTTTCCGTTCCTCAGCTGACCAGGGAGGAGGTTTAGGGTCTCTTAGGTGGTGGCAGCCTTCTGTTATGGGTAAATGTTTAATTTATTGCAATGGAGCAGAAAGGAGAGGCCAGAGCAGCAGCACTCGGGCACTGACATGGGACCCTGAGCAGGTTTGCTTTCTCAACTGAGCAGTTTGAAGGAGTAAGAGGGAAGGGAAGGAGCTTCAAAGGGCAAGATCTCTGAAAAGGGTGGCAAGCAGGTAGGATTTGATTTCCCAGACAGTGCACGACCCTCTGAGAACCAGACAGCTGAACTGGGGACAGAAAGGTAAGAGGGGCAAACTTTGGTTAAAGTGTGCTTACCTTCCTGGGTAGCCTTGTTATATAGAATGGGAAATGGAAGAGTATTGTTTGATCTGTATTTATCATTATTTTATTATTTTTAAGACAATGTCTTTCTCTGTAAGTTCAAGGCTGGCCTGGGAGTTGTGATCTTCTTGACCTAGCCTCCTGAGTGCTGGGTTTAAAGGCATGTGCCACCTGGATTTCTATGAAATTTTGAGAAAATACATTCCCCCAATTCCAAAAGAAATTAAGGGTGGGGATGGGCAGCTTCTAGGTCCTTATTCTTGTTAAATTTGATTCACTCCGTCCAGGCGATGGAAGGATGGTGATGGTTGGCGCCGACGGTGAGAGACTCTGCAGTAGCTGTGGAGAGAGGGAGGAAAGGCCAGGCTAGGAACCTAGCCTGGGAGGGGGGGATTTGCACCTCCAAGCTGATGAATATTCTAGTGGCTGTGTGTTCAGGAATCAGGAATTTGAAAGTCTGATGGTTGCGGTAATTACACATTCATCCTTGCTGTCTAGTTAAAGCCACCTATGTCACAGCAAGAAAAATGGTGACCTGCCATTAAAATCAGCCGTGTTTTCCTTGCAGAGATCAAGATGAGTGGGGATGTTGCAGATTCAACGGATGCCCACAGCACCTTCAGCCAGGTGGAGTCAGGTAAGGCGTTCTCTCCTGGGGGTGAGTGGTTAGGAGACACTGTCCAGCAATGTGGTGTCGCTTCTTGCTCAGTGTTTCAGATCCCAAAGCTGAATCTCAGTCCCTAGGGACTTGTCTGGAGATCCCAGGGCCTGACTCTGGGGCCTTGGAGTAATAGATATTGACCTTGATAGAATAGGCCAGGAAGGAGCCAGAGCCTTAGGAACAAAGAACAAAAAGTTATCCGGGAGAGACTTGCAATGTTGGGCATCAAACTCAAGTTGGGCATCAAGTTGGGCATCAAGGCTTTGCACATACTGGGAAAACAGCATTCTATCACTGTATCCTGTGATGTGTGTGTATGCGCATGTATGTGCGTGTGTGTGAGCGTGCGTACCTGCACAAGCACATTAAATCCAGAGCTTTGCTATGATAAGCAAATGCTCTTACACTGAGCCATATTCCGGCTCTTTAATTTTATTTTGAGACAAGGGTTTGCTAAATCATCCAAACTGCTTTGAACTATGTAACTCACTATGTAACTCAGGCTGGCCTCAAACTTGAGATCCTCCTGCCTCAGCCTCCTAGGAAGCTGGTATAAGCATATGTTTTGTTTTTTAAAAGAATTATTATTATTATTATTATGTGTTTATAATATGTATGCATGGGTGCACATGCACATGCCGTGTGTGCATGAGTGGCTGTCAGACAACAGCTTTGCAGAATTTCTTCTGTCTTTATGTGGGTTCTGGGGATGGAACTCAGGTCCTGAGGCTTCTACAGCGAGCACCTTTATCCACTGAGCCATCTCACTAGGCTACGATTCATGCCTTGATGTGCCGTTCTAACAGAGAAACAACCGACTGTATTGCCAGCTCCAAAGAGAACCTTTCTTTGGTAGATGCATACCAGGGTCTTCTATCCCTGGGTCGTTTTCTGTTTGGTTGTTTTTTCGAGACAGGGTTTCTCTGTGCAGCTCTGGCTGTCCTAGAACTGCCCTAGGCTGGCCTCGAACTTACAGAGACCTATTGGTCTCTCCCTTTGAGTGCTGGGATCAAAGGCATGCGCCACCACACCGGCTTCCACCCAGGTTCTTAACAGTCTTTTGTAAAGAACTAAGCAAACGGGTCTGTGTACAAGTGTTGGCCTTCTGAATGTTCTGTGTGTAGCCAGCATGTGAGCTCCGAGAGGGATTGGTGCCTAGACATGACTTTGCTTTGTGAAGAGAAGAAAGGAGTCAGGAAAGAATTGAGATGTTTCTTTCTTCTCACTTGTTTCCATCATAGCCCAACCCTTGGTTTGAAAATGCAGTGTAATTAAAAAGAACTTGAAGAAAGATAACCAGAAAGATAACTTTAATAGCCTCCCAACAAGGCCCCAATTAGTGTTTCATCTGGATCATTAGAGACACAGAAGCGAGAAGGGGAAGGAATCGATGTCCTCGAAAACTAAAATCTTTTAACTGTTCTGGAACTTTCTAGTTCTTGAAGCTAAAAGAGGGACAGGAGAGCTGAGGAGGAAGTGTGGGGAGGGCCTGGTCTTCAGGATACACTTGCTACAGATTTTTCTGCTCTTCAGTTTAACATCAAAACAGTCTCACTTGCTTGGGTAGCGAGCGTATAGTGCTACAGTCTTTATGTTCTGCTTTGTATGGAACAGCTGGACTTCAGTGTGGACTAATTGCACCCATTTCTCAGGGTGCTGTTCTCCCCACCGTACTGGTGATTGAACTTAAGTACTTATGCATAGTGGCCAAGCACTCTACCACTGAGCTACATTTCTCCTTATTTACTATTATCTATCTATCTATCTATCGATCTATCGATCTATCGATCTATCTATCTACGCTTTGCTAAGTTGTCCTTGAACTTGCTTTGCAGCCCAGGCTGGCCCCTAACTTACAATCTTCCTGTCTCAGCCTCGCCTGGGATTCCAGGCCGGCGCCATCATCAAGTCTGACTTCGGTCAGCTTGCTGGTGTCATGTGTTACTAAGGTTGGTGGAGAAGGGTGATCTCCTCCTAAATTTCCTTCAGTCTCAAAAAGTCGAGATGATCTCTGCTGACGGCTGCTGGGGGCTGTGCCTGTACTTAATGCTCTCCCCTGGAGAAAAATGGAGTCCAGAGCAGTGGTTCTAGGGAAACTGTCCGTTTCCTAGAACCAACTCTGTTCCCCCAGGCTCCGTTGGGCAGGACATAGTTGAACAGTGTCCACGTGGAAAAAGACCACCTTTATCGACAGAACCAGGCGTTGCTGTTAGTCATCCTGACCAAGGTGGGGGCCAGTGTGAGGAGTCAGAATGAGACACCAGAACCCCGACAATGAGCAGGAAGGTGAGGCTTCAACCATAGGAGGAGGCCAGGAAGTCAGTGTGCTATGTGCTGCGTGGGCAAATTCTAATCTCCTATGTGGGACTAGGGGAGCTGTGTAGGGGAGGTAGACGTTTGAAGGGCATGGTTTCAAATCAGACAGGCCTGGGCTAAAGAACTGGCCAGCAGGCAAGGCAGGGTGCTGCATTTCTGTAACCAACACTCGGAGGCTGAGACAAGAGGACTGACAGCTGGAGAGATCAAGTCTAGTCCTGACTGTAAGGAGTTCCGGCCAGCCTGGGCTACATACAGAGTTCCTGCCTCTCCCTCCAAGAAAAAGCCTACAAACAGAACCACTTACTAGCTATCTGATTTGATCATTTATCCTTTTCACAAATTGACAAGGGAAAATGAATGTTGTCTTAGAGGGTAGATTGACAGTCAGCCGAGGTCTAAAGTCTAGACCACTGTCTTGTTTATGTTTTGCTTATTTGAGACAAGGTCTCACTCTGCAGCTCTGGCTGTTCCATAACTATATGTGTACTATGTGTGTAGACCAGGCTGGCCTTGGACAAGGCCTGTGCCTCAGTGCTTCGAGCTACCACTCTCTTTTTGCATCACAGAAAGTGCAATTAAAAGTGCCCGTGGAGGCCAGAGGTCAGAGGTCAGAAGAAGGTGTCAGGTTCCCCCTGGAGCTAGGAATTGAACCTTAGTCCTCAGTAAGAACAGCAAGGGCCCTTAACCACTGAGCCGTCTCTCCAGCCCTCTTCACCACTGTGGCTCTGTAACACTGCGTGGTACTGCAAAGGGACACAGGTGCCTGGGGTTCCCTTTCCCCTTCACCCGTGCAAGTGGGTCAGCTCCAGAAGTGAGTTTTGCTCTGCTTGCCAACCAAAAAAAGATTTTACTTGGGCCCTCTACTCCAGAGAGAGAGAGAGAGAGAGAGAGAGAGAGAGAGAGAGAGAGAGAGA